ATAAAATATATAAAGTTAAATGGTGTGATATTATGTAGGATGGTGAAAAAGCAATAATTTACTTACTAAAGAATACATCAATATTTATTTTGCTTTCAAATAATTCTTATCTTTAAGTGACTGGTGAGTAAGTGTAACAAATTGTTTAATTCTAAATTGAATTTATAATTAAGTTTAATCTTTTAAAATAGATCATGCAATTAGCGAATTGTCTAATTCAAATATCGATTGTTTTTCAAAAGTCTAAATGTTATTTTGACAAATTTCTAAAAAAATGCCATCTTATGAATTCTTTGAAGAGGTGTCGTCTCAGAAAACTTTTGTAGAAATAAAATCTCAAGATATGTATATAGAAGATACGGAGATGAACTTACAACATAAATTTGAAAATTTCATCCCGGATCTAGAAATTTTAAATGACAAGGAAAATTCACAAGAAATAACAAAAGTAATGGTAATTCTTATTTGTTACATTTATAGTAATGATTATAGAAAGCATGTTTAGTAAATAATGTTCTGTGGTTGCTTTCTATTTATTGAATAAACAATATTCGCGGTTAGTCTAAACAAGTCCAAATATTATCTCAACAAAAAATGTCATCTCATGAATTCTTTGAAAGGGCTTCATCTCAGGAAGCTTTTGTAGAAATGGAACCTCAAGATATGTATATTGAAGGCATGAATATAGACTTATAACATGAATCTGAAATTTTCGTCCTGGATCTAGAAATTTTGAATGACAGAAAATATTCACCAGAAGTAATAGAAGTAACAGTAAGCCTTATTGTTACGCTTATAGTAATGATTATAAAAACTATATTTAGTAAGTAACATTCTATGATTATTTCCTATTTAATGAATAAATAATATTCACAGTTAGCCAAAAAAATGGGCTTTAAATGATCTATATTTACACTATGAAGAAATTTCTAAAGTCATCAAATACAATAACAATGGTGGTGTTAGAACTTTCAGAAAATTAGATGCTATTCATACTGATTTTCCAGAAAGTTTATCTCTTGACAACACTGAATTACATAATTCAAAACTTGATAACAGAGAATTAAATTCAAAAAAAAGTGTAAATACACCTGCAAATCTTATAATTAATACATCTAGGATGTTTTTTTGCTCTTCTAATAGTCATACAAGATTTGAACTACCTAGATGTTATAAGTAATTGAAACAGCTAGATAACTTGGGCGCTTTGTAGTAGAAAGGGCGGAAACTACTCCAAAAATGAAAAATGAGTTTTTATTAGATTTGGGTATATTTCGACGTGGTCAACATTTTTCTATTATAAATGAAGG